TGCTGTTAAAACAGCAACAAAAACAAGAAGACATAAAGGAAGGCTGCAGAAGCAATACCAATAGGAGTGGGACCCTTCTTTGTAATAGGACCACACGCTATCAGAAAGCGCTTACGTAGTAGGAGAGAACAGCAGTGGAACCAAGTCCTGGGCAGTGCCAGACGAAGAAGCTATTGAGGGGAACAATAAGAAAATATCGAGCTCCAACCGTCACAAAGACATAAGCGACATTTTTTTCAAAAATTTCTTTTTGATGCGCAAATGTTTCTAAATCACCTATGTAGATACAGTTCTGCATCACGCTTACGTCTTTTTGGGCGGTTAAGGTTCGATATATGACAAGATTATTAACCAACCGAAGAACAAATTAAGAAATCTAATCGGTATCTTAGCAGGTCATTATAGATTAAGGGCCGGTTGTTCAATGTCTGGTTATCACTACTTGCCGGTTAAACATCATTATTGACGTTTTCGACATCATACATATAAAATGTGATCGATAAAGCAGTCGCCAAGGCGAATTAATATAAGGTGATAGCAGGAGTACAAAAACAAAAATTTACATGTATTTGTTTTTGCTTTGGCGGCATAAACTGTCAAAATCTGTAAGAGTGTGTGTAGAAATTCAAAGAAAATTTTTCAGTTTGATATCAGAAGCCGTGCGGCGAAACACATACACAAAATCAGCTGAGCTAGTAACACCACCTTATATTAATTCGCCTTGGCAGTCGCTGTATTTAACCGGCGCTTCTACCTCCGATTAGTGCTAATCAGACATTGTACAACCGGTGCTTAGGGGTAACGTAACGGTAACGTCGGCAACAATGTTTAACTGGGGATTAATGTCAACCATAGTTGGTGAAAACGGCCCTAAACTCAAATACATAAACTCGGAATCTGGTCTAATAATTCATGCAGTTTCGTTAACAATGCAGCTCAAACTTTGAGTAACTCCATGAATTCGATGGTCGAAAAGACGGGTCATTATGACCGGAGCCAAAGCGCATGCATTCGATGTCAGCAAATAACCAGTTGATTTCCTAAGAGATTTAGGACTGGACGAGGAACAAGAGCCGATTTCGAACGACTTTCGATTATGCGGTTAACGGCATTAACATTTCTTTTTTCTAAAATCACAGGTTCGGAGATTGCGGTACGACGTGCGTGTTGAACATTTTCCAAAAAAAAAAAATTTAAGTCATTGTGAAATATATAAATTAAAAATACAGTCATAAGTTTTAATTCATTTGCAAAAAAAAAGACTAATAAATTTTAATTAAAGCAAAAAATTCTTTGTGAAAAAATTATACGTAAACAGGAACTAGGTGAACTGCAAAGCAAACTGGTTGTAATCTGATTCAAAAACTAGTAGCTTTTCCTGCAGGGATATTACACACTCATGCAAACAAATCTGTGTTCGTACGGAAAAGTAGCTTATGTCGAAAGGCCGGCTTTAGTATAATGCGGCATTCCCTTTATTTTTTGAACGACAAGGAATTTTTTGATGAGACTTAAAAAGAATATTGACTTGCTAGCATCGGAACTATTTATTGCACGTTTATTTGCTAAAAGTTGTTTAACGGCTTAGCGCCCGTAAGTCATTCGCAATCGTATGCTGCGAATGCCGATTTATACTAAAGCCAGCCTTTCGACATAAGCTACTTTTCCATACGAACACAGAAATATAGCTCAAACATAATCGAAATAAACTAAAATCGGTGAAAACATCTAGAATCGAAAATTCGAACGATTATTCGGATAACCGAGAGGGAAGGGCAACGTATTTTCCATGTAATAAAAAGTTGGATGCCGAAATAAGTGGATAGGTTAGGTCCAGAAGTAAGGGACTAGCTTAGACAATTGTGAGATTGTCCTATTTCGATGCCACATTCTCGTGCCGATTATGTAATTACGAATTCGGCTAATCTCAATGCTCCAGAGCTCAGCGGGGCTGTGTTTTTCAACCTTATAGCCTTGCGAACGCTGGGCACTTATGAAGGTAGTGTCGAGATAATTCACCCATCCACCGCCTTCTTAATAGTTAGCAGCCACTTCTGCCTGAAATAGCTCTATAATGTCCCACTAATACCAATTGAGACAGCCCGTTGTATGCGATCCAACTGCTTAGCTAATGTAGACTTCTCAAGTGAGTATCACCAGACTAGGGCTCCATAAAATATAATAGGCGGTTTCATAGCGCCAGTAGACAATTTTGGGCGAAACATCTCATCCCTTTCCAATATTTAGCTCCCCTACAGCACTATGAGGCCACTGATGCCGATCATTAAAGGCTATTCCATTAACAGCTGGCAAGTAATTATTTGGTAAATTATTGTGAGTTTAAGATAATTCTTTATCCAAAGATGATGGTTTTGAGAAGAACGCCCAACTTTTCTTTTTCACAGCCACAAAACTTTGTGAATCGTATTTTTACATATGGATGTGAAGTGATGAAACATGTTTTCACTTCAGGTTTTCACAGAACCGGAATTTGCCTCCTGATGATTTAGTTAGATGCATTTCCGAACACAGTCTATTACTTTTTATGAAAGAACATCACGTTGTGAGAGAAAATTTAGGCGACTCTGCCTACATCACGCGCTCGGGCAACATAATTTTGCTCATCACTAGCAAATGAAATCCCAAAAATAATTTTACTGCGCAATTTCTGCAACATTACAGTGAGGTGTATCCTTGTTTTCGTACGAATCGAAAATTTGAATTTTTTGTATACAAAGTGACAGAAAATTTCACGATTTTTTCGATTTGAATGAAAACAAGATAAGCCTCAGTGAATCGGCAGAATCCGATGCACCCTAACCAAAAAAAAAAAAAAAAATTGTCATCACCGCAATTAAAAATGGAACACATACGCATACATATGCAAAATATCACTCGCAATTTATTTTCACACAAATAAATTTACATGAAGGCATACAAAATTTTGCAAAACGCACAATGAGTGGTCAACCAGAAAAAATGCAAATTTTCTTCACACGAAATTTATCCAAAAAATAAAAAAGTAAACTGCCAGGAATAAAATGCATCTAGCGGCGGCGACGTCTGCGAGAACGTGAACGTGAACGTCTGCGTCGACTACCACTTCGTCTACCACTGCGGCGCCGTCGCCGACCACCTCGGTCGTACATGCCACCCTCCCCATGATCTGCGGCATCTGTTGGCTGTGAACAGAAAGATCAGAATTACGAAAAAAAATTAACGTTGAACCAAAATACATGCATAGCCAACATGGGGCAATGAATGCCCTCACCTGAAGTTTGCGTGATTTTCGCGTTTGCACAACATCTGTGTCCGAGCTGGAAACCGTCAATTCGTCCGACATCTCGTCATATTGTCCAGCTTCTTTATCGTCGTTATTGTGGTTGCTTTGATTATGTGTGCTTTTCGTAGTTTTGCTCATTTTTATACGCTGTTATTCAATTGTTCGCCGATTGGACCTCAGCATCCGTCGTCACCGCTGGCCTATGGTTCTCAGCTGGTTCAGCGAGTCTTTTAATTGCTTAGTCTTTTAATTTTTTCAGTTTTTGTAAAATATGTATGATTTTACCACAAATTTCGCAATTACAATACAAATCAACACAGTTTAAATTTTTTGCACGTTACAATTTTTTTTTTGAAAAAAAGTTAAAAAACGTTATTCAAGTTCGAGAAAATCGATCGAATGAGAAAATTTATGAAATTCACTTGGCATATTTTTCAAAATCGGCTCAGCTTGCTGGTTTTCTACGATTTGAATTAAATAAAAGTGGGTATATTTTGCACACAGTGCATCTACTGGAAAAGTGACATAATCCTCTGGCTCCTCATACAGTGCTGAACGAAACCGATTTTGGGACTGTATGTTTGGAAAATAGTTAGGACTGTAGAGGGTGCGTCAATTGGACAGTAGCCGAAAATAAGTGGCATGCAAATGTTGGACAAATATGGGGAGCATAGAGTGCAAGTGACCTATAAGGATGTTATCTCTCTCTCTCTCTCTACACCGATGGGACCAAGATGGACTATAGTATCTACTGCTAAGTCAGTAAGATTTCAAAGTATCACAAAATCAATACTTAAATAGCTAGAAGAGAACTGAAAAATCTAATCATGTCCCGTTTCTAAGACAATGATCACCTCCTGACTTTTGACACGGCTGAGCAGCGTCAATGTTAATCACAGAGTCGGTGAATCTGGGAGGCTATTAGAACACATTTGAAGCGGCGACATTGGAATGATCTTTGTATTGATACAAAAACAGATAGCAGGTGAAAAAGCCCAGGAGCTTTTAAAAATTAAAGCAATTATCAAGGAGCACACATCTCCAGGAAAACATGTGGTGAGGATAGGACTTTTATCTAAAAATATAAACTGTAGCTGTAGAAGTGCTCAGGACATATGTACGAGTCCTACTTATATGTAATCGTGTATCACGATATGCAGACCTGTTACAAGCTTCGGAAGGTTGCGCCGGTGGTACATCCCTAGTGCAGACATGTCCTTCTGCACTTGATACTTTCATTGTACTTATTCGAGGGCGCCCATTCTTTCGTTGCCCATGCCCAAGCTGGCGAAATTGTTGGATTTTTAGGCGCTTGACTATGTGCATGTCGTAAAAAGCTCGAACACTTCGTCATTTCTCCTTCCTCGGTACTCTTTGTCCTTCTCAGCTTTGTTCGAAATCGTAAAATTTTCAGCGCAATATTAGAGGACGGTGAGGATTAGGGATTTGCACAGCGTAATTTTTATTCGTCGAGATGGGACATTGCTTTTCAATTTACTACCGAGCCCAAGGTAGAGCCCAAGAGCAACTGTTGGCAAGAGTTATTTTTCGCTTGATCTCCAAACTGATGTTGTTGGTGGTGTTTATGCTGCATTCTACGAAGATAGAGACGTGTGTCCGAAAACGCGACTCCTTTTTTCTGTTTACAGGAGCGACTTTGTCGCCGGTAGACCAACCTCTTTAGCTTCTTTTTCTAAGCTGGAAAACGCTTAGCTGTCGTAGCTCGTAGATGTCGTAGTTATTATTATCTGAAGTCCCAATTTTAACGCAGCTGAATGTTGTACTCAAGGTCACTCTACACAGCCGTATTCGTTTTTCGGAGATCACAAATTTAGACATAGCGTCGTACAAGCAACTTCTCTTCATGATATCAAAAACAGCTTTAAAATCGACAAAAAGATGGAGTATATCGCTTGGCTTATCTAGTGTCTTCTCCAGGATTTGTCGGCAGAGAAAATCTGATCGATGACGGATTTTCCAGATATGAAGCCACACTGGTAAGGTCCAATTACTTGGTTCATGAAGGGCTTCAGTTTTTCACCCAGTATCGTCGATAGGACCTTATATGCCATACTATGAAGGCTAATTCCATTGAGGGCAGGTACATACATGCTCAGCCGGTAAACCGTCTGCTCCAGTGGCTTTGTTGTTTTTTATCCGCCTTATTACTGTTCTCATCTCGTCTTGGTGAAGCGGAGGCACGTGAGCTTCGTCTATATATATTGGTTCGGGTTCTCCTTCATCAAACGAATGTTTATTTGCAATTCAAATAAGTTCCATTCAAAAAGGTTTGTAAAAAACACAGAAGTACATATGTAGTACATACTGCAGTTAATCCGGATTAAGTCCGAGTTAATCCGGATTAACGCTGCCGTCTGTTTGAGCTTTTAGCTGCAGGACTTAATCCGGATCAACTACAGTTAATTCCTAAGATAATTCCGAATTAACCGTCTTTCTATGCTTTATGGTAGATCGGAATATCTGCTCTCTGGGAAGGGCGTTTGCGAACTGGCTGCTGAGATACGCCGATTTTCCACTCAAGTGACGATATGTTATGGATTCGATCGTTTAAGTACCCATTCCGGCAAAGTACATTTTTAAAGCAAGTGCTTAAGCGGGCTTAACTGTATACGCACCTTTCTGAAAAGTGGATATTTCGTTATGCTATTCATAAGGTAAGGTCCATTTTTTCATATCAAATAAAATAATTTGACATACATAATTTTTTGGAAATTAGTCCTATAGCCCATTTCCATCAAGGTTTAACCACAGTTAAGAGCTCAGGTAAGTTCCTAGAATTTTAACATACTCAATGATCGGCAAGGTTTAATTCTTGATTTTTGCCTTTTTCCTTTCGTTTGTTTGTACTTAATATAAGCAATTACGCTCTTCGAGTTGTAATCTCTTTTCCCATAGGCATAAAGTGCAGTTAAGACTTGGTGGAAATAAGCTATTAGTTAAAACTTTGTAGCTCCAAAATGCCCGTTTAAATTAAACATTTAACGATTTTGTTGAAATTTTGTGCGGAGATAATATTTAGAGTTTAAGGTTATCTTAATAGGTACTATCTCCGAGAAGACTCGTATATATGTAAGTGTCACCTATTCGAAATTAGTTACAAATTAATTAAAACATCATAATATGGGTATCAAATGGAAGGTATTTTAAAGATCCCTAATCCAAAAATATTTTCAATAGGGTTGCCACCTTTTTTGAATCGCATATTTATTTAAGTTTTTTTGTTGAGAAAAAAAGGTAAAATATAACTATTCATGGCTACCAAGAGGCGGTTCTTAAACAATGCTTTCCCTATATACACAATGTTATTCCTTGGGATAATAGCGTAAGGTTGCCACTTATTTTCGATTCTACACAATTTATCTAAAACTTCGCAATATGGATATCAAACGAAAGGTATCGTTGAGAACTTTGGTCCGAAAATATCTACGATCAGGGTTACCACGATTCTGTGTAATAAACATTTTTATTTTGTTAATTTCAATCAGCATTTTTTTATGTGTATACAGTCAAGATATGTATCTATCATTCATTCCCGCGTATTTCCGAATAGGGTTTCCACCTAAATTTTGGAGTAACAAATTTACTTAATAGGTATCGATATCGAAATCAAAAATTTTTTTTTTATTTCCAAAATATTTTTTTAAAGTTATCCAAATTTTTAAAACTTGTAAAAGTATATGCACTCCGGGCAAAGCTCGGTCAACCGGGTACTGTAACTTATTCAACAAAGGAATTCCGTCATTAAGAAAGCCATTAACATTAAATTACAATGCAAGCATCACAAAGCGAATAAGGACTAAATGAGATATTTATGTATACGTATGTATGTATGTGTGCATGGGGTAAAACAGGGACATATATAGATGTAAACATTTTTATAATGTCTTATACACATGTGCATCCGCATACTCGTATATGTACATACATATATACTTATATCTACGTACATAAATGCATATGTATGTACATATGTACTACATAAGTTTGTAGATCTGATTGTGGTTAAAATGCACGCGGCACACGCAAACTTAAGATGTAAATAACCCCACAACATGCCAAGTATGAAAACAATGTTGTTAAAAAAAAAACATTTATATTTATGTATGTAAGTGTATGGATTTAGGTATTTGGAGAAAAAACATCAACTACCAACATTCGATGTCGCTTTGCTACAAATTTTATCAGCTTATGATATTTCTTTACTTTTCGAGTCACGTTTCAGTCTGTCGCGTTGGAAATTATGTACATACATATGTATGTATGTATGTGGTGAGGGTGGGTGGATAGTACCCCTGTATGAAAGTAATAGCGTCCAACAGACCCCCTTTTTCAAGTGACTATTGCGAATGCTAGAACAACCCTTAAAGCGATGAATATTGGCCAAAACAAAACGATTAGGGTGACCAGAGGTATTCAAAAGTTAATGTAAACTCAATTAGTTTCTGGCACTCGCTTTGATTTCCTTGCAAGCTGCTTCGCCTACCGCTCGACTGTTCTTCGCCACGTTTCACGCGGTCTGCCAGGTGGACTGCCTTTGTCGATTTGGCCGTTCCATTCCATGGCCATCTGTGCAATACTACCGTCTTCTTTGCGCCAGGTGTGAACTATCCACATTGACTTCTGTCTCCGGATCCAGATCTCAAGGGACTCCATGTAAGCGTTTCTGAGAAGCTCCTCATTTCCACCTCCAGGAGCAATTGCGCACCAAAGGTATGTTCCTCATAGTATTAAGGGCCGTTTTCACAAACTCTGGTTAACACTACCGACACGGTGTTATATGCATGAAGTCAGTAACGTCGATAACGATGTTTGACCGATGATTAGGGTCAACCAGGCTTTGAGCAAACGGCCCTAAGTGTTTGGTCAGAGGCTGTCACGACACTACAAGCCTGTGCTGGCACACTTAGTACTTTGGTTTTTTTTATGTTACTCCTTAGGCCTAACGCTTTAGCTTTAGCGAAGTCCACAGTCGAGGGGGGCCCTCATAGCAGTATCCAACATATCCCCAATCAAAAAAGGAAGAGAAGAGGTGAGGGTAAGTAGCCTTGTCGAACACCACTGTGTACTTCCCAGGTCTCAGAAGTTTTGAAGGACATGATGTCGAGATTACTTATAGCATCGTGCAGTC